TTGTTCATTGTGACGACAACAGGAAAGACAAAACAATGCTATATGATTACCTTTAGTGTGAAGGTGTATAGCAGAATCAACAACTTCCCTGTAAGAATAATAAAATTGTTATACGTAAATGAATTAGATATAATATGGAGTTCATATGTAGAATTGATTAAAAAAAACTTACCTTGGTGCCCTAACGAATTTGAATATCTTTCCCCCGTCATTTGTTACAATGGCCACATCCGTGCATAGCATGTATATTTCACCTGCAGTAAAACAAACAATTCAATCATATCATGGAATTATCTGGTGTTGAGTAGTTCGGGATCGCCCTATCTAACTATGTGTCCATGAATGTATATAGTCGTACGATTACTGTTATATAAATGTTTCTATTCTAATTTCTACTAATACTTGTTTGCACTTGTTTTGCAAATCTCATATTAATAACTGAATTGTATTAATGACATGGAAATTGATGGTACTGATTTATGCTGATGATTAGTATTGTTACCGTCGTCGCCCGACTCAGAACTGTAATAGTTATTTACAGTTTCGATCGTGTTGGACTGAATAAAACAAACACGAGTTCGTAATACATAACAGGAGAGTGGGATTAAAGTCGGATTCTATCGTCGTAATGTCACAGCCACTAAATAATTTTAAATTACCTGATTCATCTTCTCCAAAGGATAGGATTCCCCGTGGATAGTCTCTAGTCAGATCACCGGTACAGACAGTCTCATCGGCTATGCATATATCTTCGCGACTCCATGTTCCATCCCGACCTTCTGTCAGTTGATACAGTAACCTGGTAACGGAGAAAATCAGCGAGGAGAATATGACTTTCTTTTTGTATATTATGGTGTTGGTAAACAGGTCATTTTTAGAGATCCATGAAAAATAATTTGCATTTGTGCACAGGTTTCTATGGTAAGAGTATTTCTAGTAGTAGCAGTTCTACTGAAGACAATCACCCGTGAATAAATATTCAATAAATATTTACCCGGATATAAAATCGCCGAATATGTAAACACCATAGTATTTAGAAGGCAACTGTGTGCCACGATATACGTAACCACCAGTCACAGACCGTCCCTGGGGACCCAATGGGTACACGTGAATTGGTAACACGTCGTCCTCTGAAATATACAAGTGTGTAATTGAAGAATCGTTCAACAGAAAAGGAGTTGACTAGCACGGTAAAATGTCCCTTAAACCGGAACTTATAAACACGTGCCCAGGTAATGGATGGGTTTAAAAATACAGCCATATATGCAAATCGATGACGTCATCAACTAAACTGCTCTCAGGACTCTTTCCCAATGATGTTTAAATATTCAATTAATGTACAATAACAAATAACATTGTGTTATAAAATTCGGGATAGACTTGGGAATGATTCAGTACTGACAACTATCATTGCAAATACAACACTATATTAACCTAGTTCATTGCAGATTTCTTCATCATAACATTCAAACCCTTCTTTTCCATTCCATCCAAAATTGCCACCCTTTACAAGGATGTCTACCTCTTCGTAATCATCTTGTCCGACATCACCACAAAAAATCCTTCCTTTCCCGTAGCCAGTGTCACTATCACCTCTATCAACTGAACACCTCCACGAATTACGCAGCCCATATGCATATAGCTCGGGCAATGCATCCGGGTCATCAATAAAAGGATTGTCAGGAGGTATCCCGTATGGATACCCGTTATCTGTGATGTCAACGTCAATTCGAATTGCAGATCCTAAATAGGAGCTCCTGTCAGAATAAAGACATACAGAAAACATCAGTTGCATATGCACCGTGTATGTATATCCGTTTGTTTGTTTATTTGTTTGTTTATTTGCTCAAACAATATGAATCAATCAATTCATTTATTAAATTGTTGCTATTATCGATCACAGATCATCGATCATAAATTGTTTCGTTTGTTACCAATTCTCCCCGCCATATCACCATACTCGTGCCATACAATTTAACACGCCCA